CCCCCCCCCCCCCCCCCCCCCCCCCCCCAGCCGCGGGGGCAGGCCGCGCCTGGGCCACTGAAGGGGGTTGGATCCCGGCGGGGTGTGGGGGCTGCGGTAGGCCTCTGCGTGGCACCCGGCTGCCTTCCCCGACTCTTGTTGTTGGCCGAGCAGGTGGTGGGGAGCCTCTGTTGTCTTCCAGCTGAGATCAGGGGAGGGGAGATAGAGAGTGAGAGTCAACCTGCCGGAGAGAAAGAGGTGCAGAGCCTCGGTCTGCTCTGACAGCTTTGCGCTCACCCGCGGGCGGCCGGCTCGGTCCAAAACGGGCTCTGAAGCAGCATCCCCCTCCCCCCAGCTCCTATGGGCTGGGGCAGAATTCGCACTTTTGCTGCTATTGTTTGGGTGGAGGCCAGTCTGTGCAGGCCTAGCTCAGCAGTAGCCTGCCTTTGTACAGATGACATTCACAATGGAAACTAATATCTATCTCCGTGTATATGGCACTTGCTGGGGGTGAATCTGTGGGAAATAATGCTTTCTGCAAGGTGGATGCACTTGTGAAGGGACGGTTGTGTGCCTGGCAGTCCAGCAGTGGTAACTAAATTATTGTTATCTTTTTTTTTTTTTTAGGGGCCCCACCCTTAGATTAAGTAGCTGGCTTCATTACTGGTTCTTGCCTGCTTCTCGCCCTGTGAAATCGTTCATCCTCCTTTCCCGTCTCCCTATATTGAGAATATTGATTTTGCTTCATTGTTTCTGGGGAAATCAGGATCTTCATTTTCTGTCTTCCCAGCAGCTGGCCGAGCTGGTTAGAGAACTAAGTGGGGGCAGGCTGATATCCCCACTTGGTATGTCTTGCCATCTAGGCTTCCTGATATGTGGGCTTGTTTGAAGCTGGTGGCTAGTGAGCTCAGAAAAGGATCTGTTTCTGTTTACAAAGGGGAAACTGCCATAGCTGTCTCAAGAGAATTATTCAGCTTTAGTTGTGCTGGTGTACCTCCCTTGTGTGGCTGCTGTTCTCAAATAGTTAATCTGCATTAATTGCTCTTATTATGGTGTACTCTCCTATGGTTATTCTGTGGTCAGTTTTCCTGAATGGACTAGCCCTGAAGCTTCCCAGCTCAGTGGGTCACAGTACTTAGCCCTGGTGGAGTGTAAAAGGTTCTGTACTAGAGTTAAAAGGTGATAAAGGAGAAAGCTTGTTCAGCATTAATTTCTGTACCCCCAAATTTTATTATTCTCTAAAGAAGTAAGGTAGTACTTAAAAAGCTTTAAAGTCACAGAAGAAATTAGATATTCTGTATAAAGGTTATGAATGCTTTACATTAAACTTAGTCGGTTTAAAAAACAAACAATTTAAGCAGAACTCTTAAGAATCAGAATGTGGCTTGTGTTAAACATTTGGTAATTTTCAATATTTCTTGCTGTCTGTTGACTTCCTGATTGTTTTCCTGTTTAGCATGGAGGTCAGTCCTGAGACTGGTGGTAGAAGTACCCTTATCAGTAGCTTTGCTTTAACCAGTTGTTATACCAGTGTATCTACTAGGATTATTTTAAAAGACTTGATGAGTTTACTATTGGGCAGGAGTATTTGCCCCCAATGGGGCACTAGGCTGGATCTGGACTGCAGGGCTCCTTGCGGGTTGGATCCAACCTGGGTCAGGAGGGCTGCCTCAGTAGCCACCGTGGTGCAGGGCGGGCACTGCAGGTCTGGTGGGGGCTGGAGGAACACTGGAGTCTGGTGGCAGCAAGCCAAGCTTACTACTGATTGCCATGCCCAACAGGGCCAAAGGGTCCAACTGTGCAGTCTGGTGGGTAGGATAGGGAGACTCTGTAGGCCAAATATGGCCTGCTGGCCCAATGATTGACACCTGCTCTAGGGAATACCACATGTGTTGAACTGTTCTTTTGAACAAGAGGTGCTGACTTGCAGGTTTGTTGCAGTGTAAAATGAATTGTATGCCAGGCAAAGCATTTACATCCTGTGATATGGCTATGGACCTGGTAACTAGTATAATTGAGTAACAGCTGTAAGGGTGGCATCTTAAAGTCTAACTCTTTAATTCTAAAGTAGATCGATTGCAGTCCATTTCATTCAGCTGTGTGGTGCCATCATTGACTAGAGGAGAGGTAGTTAACTTCGTTAGTCTAAGATCAGGAAGGGTAGGGGGCACAAGTTAGTCTTTAACTTGTTGCACTCTCTCTCCTAGTTGAGAATTGCTTGCTTTGAGCCTTTTGCCACAGTGAAGGTGCTTTTTATATAATATAGGAAATTCTTCCAAAATTATTGCCTTTACGTTTGTAGACAACTTTTTTAAACAAAAGAGGAACTCTAGAAACCAGGAGGAATACCACTGATCATTTGGGATTTTCAAGTGAGCTGAGATCTTTGTAAAGTAACGTTTGTAGAAAAATGAACTATTCTGGATGTTGGACTTGTATGTGCTGATTTATCTACCTTACAGTATTGCTTTTTTTAGGACATCTTAACTGTTAAATGCCTTATTTCCAGAAGAGGTTCACTGATATATTGGCTGTGTATCAGATTAGCACTGATTAAAAGGAAAATGAACGTTATTGTTTTTTTTTTTAGCCAATAATGTTCTCCGATTATTTAATTATGCCAGAGCCCCCCCGATGCCTGGGTTCTCTCCCGTGAGCCTGGGTGACCCTGGATACACCCCTATCCCCTCACTGGTGGGCCGTGCTGGGCAGGAGTGGAGCAGCTGCTGTGGTGTCCCAGGGGCTGTTGCAGACTGCAGGCTGGGGCCAGGATGAACACTATAAAAGGTGCTGAATGCCAGAGATGTGACTGGGGTGGCCAAGGGTGGGCAGAGCTGAGCTACCTGGCCTGGCCCAGCATGACTCAACCCATGGTGCCTGGGGATCTGTTCCTCAGGGGCGGGAGCAGAGGGCTTGGCCAGGGCAGCTACTCCCTCCCCCCCTGCGCGCTGTGTGTGGCAGAGTCCTTCCCCAGCAGGGAGTGGGAGTGGGGGGTGGTGCTTTAATTAAAGCGACTCTGCAAGCCGCTCTAAAGTGCCCATAGACCACCCAGCCCTGGACAGCCTCAGACTTAGGCAGCTGCCCCCAGGCTCGGATTGGAGGGCCGGGGCTGCAACTTGCACAGGGCACTTTTACATGTGCTCCAGGAGTGTGTGTGTGTGGGGGGGGCAGCACTGCGCTTTAATTAGTAAAGTGCTGCTGTGTCTCCTGTATCAGCATCCCCACGCTTAGAAAGAACGGTGGGGGTGCTTGAACTAAAGCTTATTTGACAAGCTTTATTATTAAATGTTGGTTATTGGATCGGTATTGGCTGATATGGCTGGTTAATAATCAGCTATTGGTATTGGCCAGCAAAATCTTTATCCATGCACCCCTAATTTCCAGTCTAAGCTGTTGAACAAAATGCAGCCTGTATCACCTTCTGCTTGAAGATGGTATACTGTTTGTTAACTTTCAGCTAACCAGGCTTGAATGAATACAGAATCCATTTAGTTAGAAACCACGTTTCCTTAGCTCCTACTCAGCTGCTGGTTATTAAATATTCTAAAATAATTTATTTTCATAGTACTAAATGTTCTGATGCTTATTCCTTTAAATGGTAGTTTTTTCATATTTTGTTCACAGTATCATAGTACTTAGGGTTGGAAGGGACCTAAACAGATCATCAGGTCCGACCCCCTGCCCCAGGCAGGAGCGGGTGCCGGGGTCATATCACCCCAGCCAAATATCTGTCCAGCCTCCTCTTGAAGACCTCCAAGGTAGAAGAGAGTACCACCTCACTTGGGAGCCCATTCCAGAGCCTGGCAGCCCTAAATGTAAAGGAATGTCTCCTGACGTCCATCCTGACCCTTCTCTCTAACAATTTGAGGCCGTTATTCCTAGTAACCCCCAGTGGTGCCCTTGGGGAACAGAGCCTCCCCCAATTCCCACTGGTCCCCCCAGTGAGCTTGTAAACAGCCACCAGATCCCCTCAGCCTTCTTTTGTGGAGGCTGAATAGGTTCAGGGCCTTTAGCCTCTCTTCATAGGGCCTGCCCTGCTGCCTCTTGACCATGCGAGTGGCCCTCCTCTGGACCCTCTCAATGCTAGCCACATCCCTCTTGAAGTGTGGCGCCCAGAACTGGATGCAGTGCTCCAACTGTGGCCTGACCAATGTCACATAGAGGTGAAGGATCACCTCCCTGGACCTGCTTGTGATGCATCTGTAGATTCACGACAAGCCTTACTGACTGGTTCCTCGCATTGGCGGCTCATGTCCATCCTGGAGTCAGCAATGACTCCAAGATCCCTTTCTGCCATCGTGTTGACAAGAAGGGTGTTCCCCAACCTATAGGCATGTTGCTGGTTCCTTCTCCCTAGATGCAGTACCTTGCACTTGTCTGCATTGAATTCCATCCTATTCTCATCTGCCCACCTCTAATTTGTCTAGATCTAGCTGGATTCTGTCCCTCCCCTCCAACGTGCCCACCTCGCCCCACAACCTGGTGTCGTCAGCGAATTTGGACAGCGCGCGTTCCACACCCACATCCAGATCACTGATAAAGATATTGAACAGTACAGGCCCCAGGACCGAGCGCTGGGAGACTCCACTGCCCACATCCCTCCAGGTCGAAAATGACCCATCCACCACCACCCTCCGGGTGTCACCATCTAGCCAATTTGCCATCCATCTGACTGTGTAGGCATCAATGTCACCTAGTTTTTTTTAAGAGAATGTGGTGGGAAACTGTGTCAAAGGCCTTCTTAAAGTCCAGGAAGACGACATCCACCCCGACACCCTCGTCCAGGAACTTTGTGACCTGATCATAAAAAGAAACCAGGTTAGTCGGGCAGGACTTGCCATCGATGAACCCATGTTGGTTGCCCCTGAGCGTTACCTCCCTTGCTGGGCCCTTGCAGATGTGCTCCTTGATAACTTTCTCAAAGGTCTTCCCAAGGACCGAGGTAAGACTGACTGGCCTATAATTGTCTGGGTGCTCTTTTTCTCCCGTTCTAATAAATGGGGATCACATTGGCCCTTTTCCAATCCTCTGGTACCTGGCCAGTGGCCCACAAGCGCTCATAGAGCCATGCCAGGTGCCCCTCTATGACCCCTGTCAATTCCCTCAGCACCCTTGAG